TGTGTGCTGTGGTGTGTGCGGATCAGCAGTTCCTCCAGCCGGCAGCGCAGGCAGATGGAGGCTCCAGACCCGCAGCAGCAGCAGCAGCAGTGCTCCTACACCTTCTTAATCCCGGAGCAGAAGATCACGGGGCCTATCTGTGCCAGCCGGGGGCCCTCGCTGCCGGACCCCGAGCGCGTGACGCGGACGGACATGTCTGAGCTGCGGCAGACCCTGAGCCGGCAGCGGCGGGAGATGGAGACGCTGCGGATGATGGTGGATGTGGACGGAGACATGGTGCAGGAGATGAAGCTGCTGCGTAAGGAGTCGCGGAACATGAACTCGCGGGTCACTCAGCTCTACATGCAGCTGCTGCACGAGATCCTTCGCAAGCGGGACTCCTCTCTGGAGCTGGCGGCGCTGCAGAACCGGCTGCTGAACGGGTCCGCCGCCGCGCTGCGTCTGTCCGCCGGGTACCGGGAGCTGCAGCAGCGGGTGTCTGTGCTGGCCGAGCGGGTCAACAGCCAGGCGGAGCTGCTGGCGCTGCTGGAGGAGCGCTGTGTGCGGGTGTACGGCAGGCAGAGCCGGGACCCACCGCCACCACCACTGCCGCAGGTGCTGCCGGAGAACATCCCGGTGTTTGTGCCGAGAGTCTCCAACGAGATCCAGAGCAACAGCTGGACGGAGGAGCAGAGAACCGGAGCAGCAGCAGCCGACACCGGGGAGCGACCCGCACAGAACAACAGCAGTCTGAAGGGTAACACACACACACACACACACACACACACACACAGGGCCGGTGCGTACATAGAAGTGAACTAGAATAGTCAGGACAGCAACAGAGAGAAAGCAGGAGTAAACACGTGCACACGCATGAACAAACAGACACCCACTTCCCTTCATCCACAACACTTTTGTAAGCAACCACCCCACATTACCTAACCCTGACCCTTTACTCTGGCCTGTGACCCCCTCCCCAACACCCCTACCTAACCCTAACCTCTGCATTTCTTCTGTGAGGTTGAGTAGTTAGTGTGTCTGCTGCCCCCTGCAGGTCCGTTCCGGGACTGTTATGCGGCGCTGCAGGCGGGACACTCGGTCAGCGGCGCGATCCTCCTGCAGCCGGACGACACCCTGACGCCTGTTCAGGCCTGGTGTGAACACGACGTGGACCGAGGAGGATGGACACTCATCCAGAGGAGGAAAGACGGAGCCGTCAACTTCTCCAGGGACTGGGACAGCTATAAGGTGGAGCTGGAGGCGGAGACACCATTAGCATGATTCATGAATATTATAATTATCACTGCTCTGAACACTGCTGTAGACGCACACACACTAACCTGAGCTTACCACATGAGTTTACCTGCTGACTACTGAGGGGATGAGTTCAGATGTTGACTAGTGAGTAGACGAGTTCAGATGTTGCCTAGTGAGTAGACGAGTTCTGATGTTGACTAGTGAGTAGATGAGTTCTGATGTTGACTAGTGAGTAGATGAGTTCTGATGTTGAATAGTGAGTAGACGAGTTCTGATGTTGACTAGTGAGTGGATGAGTTCAGATGTTGACTAGTGAGTAAATGAGTTCTGATGTTGACTAGTGAGTAGATGAGTTCAGATGTTGACTAGTGAGTAGACGAGTTCTGATGTTGACTAGTGAGTAGATGAGTTCAGATGTTGACTAGTGAGTAGATGAGTTCTGATGTTGACTAGTGAGTAGACTGATGTTGACTAGTGAGTAGATGAGTTCAGATGTTGACTAGTGAGTAGATGAGTTCAGATGTTGACTAGTGAGTAGACGAGTTCTGATGTTGACTAGTGAGTAGACGAGTTCAGATGTTGACTAGTGAGTAGATGAGTTCAGATGTTGACTAGTGAGTAGATGAGTTCTGATGTTGACTAGTGAGTAGATGAGTTCAGATGTTGACTAGTGAGTAGATGAGTTCAGATGTTGACTAGTGAGTAGATGAGTTCAGATGTTGACTAGTGAGTAGATGAGTTCTGATGTTGACTAGTGAGTGGACGAGTTCAGATGTTGA